ATTCCAATTTCAGGCACATTACTTGCCCAAGGCCATGTGGTCAGTTAAAAGAAGTGACAAGAATCAGCATATTCTGATTCCCAAGTCCATGAAATTGTTTTATAATTAGTCAACAAACTATATTTTTACCAATGAAGCACTGTTGGTGCCTTTATCTGCCAATATATTCAAAGTGTCATACAATTTTAATTTATTTTTTAAAAATACCCACACTGAACTGTTCAATTATATCACTAACTATGTCGGCCATCCATGACCTGCTACAATCTGGCCTCCATCCCACTGCTTCCCTGCCACCCCCTTTAGACTCTATTCTCAAACTATATCAAACAATTTGTAGTTCCCAGAACATGACAAACTGTTTGTTGCCTCTTTTTTATGCTAATGCTGAGGAAATAGCTAAACAGACATTTTCCTAGTAGATTCTTTTTTTAACATTAATAAACAAATTTCTAAACAACCGTATCTCCCGGTGTACCCACAGCTCATTCCAACTGAAATGACCACACTACCCTTTGGGCCATCATGCACGGATAAGTGTTCATCTTAACACCCTAAACGTGTTAATTCCATTATTGGCTTCCAGCCCGTCTTTCCCTCTTAGATCAAAAAGCCCTCAGAAACAGGGCATTACAAACAACCCAGTACTAGTGTGCTTATATAAATAAAGTCTGACAAGATTAAAAATTAAAAACAGTTCAGCCCAACCACCATCCCCCAACAAATTCACATGCAATGTAAAAAACAGAAAATCCACAGTGGAAATCAGACTTAATCCATTAAAAATTTAATACTAACTCTGTAATTAATTTGGACTTAGTGCATGAAATACAAACATCTTTCACTGTAAATTGATAATTCATAATTGGCTTGCACCCCAGTATGGTTCAAAAGAGGCTTAAATGTAACACACAACTCACAAGAAAAGACATAAAAACAGCTCTTTAAGTATCTGAAAAGATGTTCAATCTCACTCAAAACACTTTGAAATGCACTTAAACCTAAACCAATATACTTTTTTCAGATTAGATCAAACAGGTTGATAACCCTTTGTGTAACCCTTTATGTTGGTGAAGATGTGGGAAAACAGATATTCTTATACTTGCTGACTGCTGTGAAATATTTAATGACTAACATAGGCTTTATGAAAGGCAATTTGACAATACCTATCAAGAGTTTACATAGCTTAGTAATTCTATTTCCAGGAATTTATCTGACAAATATATCACACATGTGTGTCAAGATCTCTATGTTACTCCTTACAGCACCATTTGCACTTGCAAATGATTGGAAACAAAATAAATAGGTAGCAATACAGACTGGGAAATAAACTATAGTATACTCATGTACTGCAAAACCATGTGGTTTGTTGAGAAAAAGGAAGTTTCTTATGTACACATACAGAATGATTTCATATGAATAAAGCAAAGTGAAAAATACATAGAATATTTAGCTTTTGCATAAAACTGGGGAAAGAGAACATACATTTGTATGTATATTTTTATACAGGCATACTATCTTTCTAGCAGGATACACAGGAAACTGATTACACTGGAATAGTGGCTCCCCATGAGGAAGGAAAATAGATGGGAAAAGTTACACATAAATTGTATTATACACAAACACTTAAATGTATCCTACATTTTTAAAAAAGGCAGGACAGAAGTTTCATTTAAATGGTCTCACTTAAATATCAGATTCATTCAATACAGAAAAGATATAACAGAATTAGATATAAAATAAATGCAACATTCTTATAATGTCCTCATTTCTGTAACACCATAATTATGACCCTAAACTCCAAACAATCAAATTAAATTTCAGTCCATTCATATCTTTTACCTCTGACCCCATAATTACACAAGATAAAAGAACTTAAGTTGCTACTACAGGTTTTTTCAAAAAGCACTAATAACATACCACAGATTATTATAAACTAAACACGGGTCCAAAAATAAACTTACTAGACTATTTCGTATCAACTCCGTAAACAAAAGAGTAAGAAATTCTTTCTTCAGTATTTATGAACACAAACTGTGGCTAACAGCACAAGGAATTAAACCCTAAATAAGAAAAAAGCTCTTAATTTTATCAACTTCACAAATATGCCAAAGAGAGCTTCAAACTTATTACATGTAAACCAAATTTTAATAAACCAAACCATATTTTATTTAAGTTTTTAATTTATTTTTTTAGTAATCTCTACCCCCAACATGAGGCTCAAACTCACGACCCTGAAATCAAGAGTAGCGCACTCCTCCAACAGAGACAGCCAGGCACCCTAACCAGACCATATTTTAAATGGACTAAGAAGACTCACTCTTCAAAAGAAACTTTCCTGATTCTTTTTTTTTTCTGACTTTTTTTTAAAGATTTTATTTATTAGTCAGAGAGAGAGAGAGAGCTCACGCACAAGTAGGGGGAGCGGCAGGCAGAGGAAGAGGGAGAAGCAGGCTCCCCGCTGAGCAGAGAGCCCCATGCAGGGCTGGATCCCAGGATCCTGGGATCATGACCTGAGCCAAAGGCAGACGTTTAACCAACTGAGCCACCCAGGTGTACCTTTCTGACTTTTTTGAACATAAATAATTTCATAATATCAGATTTTTGACTTTGAGTTTTCTAATGAAAAAACCCTCATTATCAACTTGTTCATTATTTTACCTTTTAGCATTATATACTTCAACTTTCACCCTCCAATGAATAATTTCTGCTTTCATCTATGAAAATGACAGAGTTGTTTTTTTAATTTATGCCACCACCCTCCTTACAAATTATGGCATAAGGATCTTGCCAAACAGGACTACCCTACTGCACAACTGAGGCACATTTTACATGTGAAGATAAAAACAAAGTGAACCTCTAAATATCAAACTCTGTGCTGTAACAAATTTGAGTAATACAAGGCTTTTGTATATTTTTTGAGATTTTAAGACAACTAGGGTAACAAAAGTAGATACAGCAATAATATCCATTCTAATAACAACTTCTTGATTCAATCTAAATCACAAAATAATCTTTAGGTGTTCTCTACTTAGGTAAAGCACAATTTAATAAATAAAACCTCAACCATGTAACATGCCTAATAACAGGGCTCCTCTTTATCTCAGATATGCTGTGTACCTTCAGAATAACTTCAATATAAAAAGGCCAGATGAGTCAAAAGCCATCAATAATTGATAATATACCTGTGAGCAGAAATGTAGGATTTGTTGTCATATAAAACCAACACTAAGTGAAAAATCACAGGTGCCTATTACCCAAGATCTTAAAATAACTTCAGATATTATCTGGTATAGTGGTTCTCAACCTTGGTTGCACATTAAAATCACTTCTGGGAATGTTTAAAAAATATAGTGATGTCAAGTTAATCAGAACTTGGGGAGAAGGAACGTTATCAGTAGGGTTTTGTTTTTTTTTAAGTCCTCAGTTACTCTAAATATGTAGCCAGTAATGAGAATTACCCATAACTCAGATTACAACAATCCTGAAAGTTATTCTACAAACCGATGAGATCAGTTCTCCCTTGCAGATCTTCCATATGTATATAGTGGAAGGGAGATGTGAATCCCACATATTTCAATTGATTTGTTAGTAAATACATTTTGAAGCATTTAAGCATGGTAGAATTTCAAACCTGAAGCATAGGGCAATTCGTATATCCTAACGTTAATGTTCAGCCATGCTGCTGCAGGGACACTTCTCAAAAGTGTTGACAGACTATACTAATAAAAGAGGAGGGGGCAGATCAGCCATTACTACATGTCTGGTTATAGAAGTAGTGCAATAATGAAAACCAGATTTTAAAGGCAGTCAACCCTGGATCCATGACACACTGTGTTAACGTAAACCTGAGTTTCTTCACCTGCCAAATGGTAATTATCATATACCTCATAAGTAGGTATCAACGAGGTAAAATACTTAACATAATACCTTGCGATAACAATGGCTCAACTGAATAAAAAATAAACTAATGCCTGTTAAGCTTAACAAAAAGGAGAGGACCTAAGCAAAGACCGGTCAAAGTCAGTCTCACAGGCCCATAAGCTCTTTTCACAAATGTCCCCATCGGCCAAGTAGAGGACTGGTATGAGCGGAAGACGAAGCAACTCCAAGCCCGAAGAGAGAAAAATCGCGGAGGGGATGGCATGGCTTGTAAAGCCGAGAGGGGCGCAAAGGCCCAAAGAAGACGGCCCGGGCGCGGCCGCCAGACCTCAGGGATGAACCGAAGGGAGGCCGATGGTGGAGAACAGATCACGCAATGTCCCTCACCTTCACTACGGCCGTCCCTCGGCTGCCCTGACGGCCACTGTCTAGTCCCGCTCCAGGCTTGTTTACAATCACGGTTGCCATCCTACGAGGAGCGGTGCCGCAGAAAGAGCCGTCACGGCCTTCAGCTGAGGGGCGGGGTCGAGCCACCTACCCAGAGCCCTCGGCGTTCGCCGCCGGCGCACAGGCGCAGTAAGACGCGGAGCGCCGCTGGGTGGACCTCTGGGCTCCTCCTCCTGCCAGTCACTAGCTCTTTGGCTACACAGCCTTGTATATATGAGCGCTTTGCTATTTATATTGGTATTATCCGGGAGTCTGCAACTGAGGGCAGGAACAAAATTAAAGGAAAAAAGAAGGGCTAAAGCAAGAAGTAAATTTTCGGGGTGAAACTCCCGCTTCAGTAACGATCTCTTCGTAATTGCCGAATAGACGTGGGAGCAAAGGGGAACTACATCTCCCTGCATGCAATGCGGTTTTGTTTAAACTACAAATCCCAGCATGCAAAATCCGTTTCTTTTACTCCGCATTGTACGGATCTGGGAAGCTACGTATTGTCACCGAGGAGTGGTTTCTTGAAGTCATGATGTGTGACTGTGGTTTGAAAATAGGGAAGTATGTATGTATAGGTCTCTAAGAAGCAAGAGATGGCTTTGGTAAAAAGAAGCCGTTGAGTCCGTAAAGGACGGTGCTAAGAAGAGAATTTACGGCATCACCAGCGCAGAGAGCCTGTTGGGAGTGATTTGATCTTCCCGAACGTCCGCATTTCTTTTTTCTTCCGGGCTGCATTGAACCTCTTCAGCTGCCGTAGGCAGTGGGTCGAAAGTGCCGGTCAAAATGGAAGTGAATCCCCCCAAACAGGAGCACCTGCTGGCCCTGAAAGGTAAACTTTTACGAACCTGGCTCCCTTTAGTCTGTTCTCCTCTTCTCTCACTAATTCTCGAAGCCTTTGCCGCATAGATCTGGTCCCTGGGATGTAGGCCTCGTTTTTCTTAAACACTGTTAGTGCCTGCCCTCCTGCTCTGTCCTTTGGCGCCGAGTGTAAGGAAGCAATTTCTTCTCTTTGCTTTTTAGGTTTGACAGCCTTCCTCTAGAATGGAATAGATACCTGGCAAATCACTCATTGTGTGATATGCTGCAGTTACCAGACTGGTTTTAGCCGCGGAAGCTAAGGTCCCTACCTTACCCGGGGAGAGCCCAGTGAACCAAGATGATTTACAATAGGCATCTACAGTGATTTTTCCTTGTCTATTGTGCCTTCATGTGGCACTGATAAAGTTACTAGGCTTCAGCTTCATCTGTAAAGTTAGTCTAGTATTGCAGTAAGCAGTGCCAAGGATTTAGAAATACATCGTACAACAACGTATAGTTTAGATTTGTTAAAACTTCAGTTTACTTCAAAGTTGTGGATATGGGAAAATTAATGCCAACTTTCGTTTTCTGCACACAGCAAAAATTTTTAATAAGTTTGATGATTTAATTATATCATTATTTGGGGGAAAACCAACAGGGCAGAGTTTTTCTGGAATTCTTATTGTTTTCTGAAAACCTTTTATTTAAAATGCTTTCAGCTTTATTTCATCTGTTTTCTACTTCCACGAACGCGCTTCTTCTTTCTTGGATGCTGTACTGTGTGGTTACCAGTAACTTCTTGGACTGAGCTGAGAAAAGGCTCAAGAGGCATTTGAATTCGGTTACACTGCACTTACCTTCCTTGTGGCATCTATTTTGAGGGACCCTTATCCCCTCTCCAGTTATGATGTAGGCATCACACATTCCAGAAGCTTACCAGTCCCATCTGTAACATAAAATCATATACTGATAGCTGAATTTAATAGGGTTGTCTCTGATCATAGAACTAAAAAACAATATTAAGTAATACAGCTACAGGACCTGTAAGCTTAGCCTGAGCAAATGAGCTAGACTAAAATGGGTTCTTCTGGAGAAAAAGGAAAAGTAACTGTCACGTTTTTTCTTAATCTTACATCAAGTATGTGGAATAGATTTTACTTAATATCTATCAGAAATTTAAGAAACTTTTTCAGGGTCACAAAGCTAGTAAGTAAGTGATTGGAGGCAGTATATTCAACACAAGGCCTTCCTCCCTCTTTCCAAGACTCCTTATTGCCTCCTAATGAAGGAAACAGCATTTTCAGAGAACATTCTCTCATCAGTTATTTTGATGGGAATTTGGAACAGTTCTCTTAGCTCCTAGGTATGATTTTATGTAAGCTGGAAGCTATTAAACACACATTCCAGTGATGTGGAAGCTAATTGCCATTGGGTATTTTTAGTTTTCTATTTTTCTTTATTTTCTGAAATAGAAGATAACCTGGGAGACTATTTTAGTGGCCTAAAAGGATAAGTCCTTTGAAATTCACGGATAATTTCAGTTTTATTAAAGCTCTTTGGTACCATTGTCCCCCCTTGTTAAACAAGAATTTTCACAAGCTTTGGGGCACCTGCCTGGCTCAGTCGGTGGAGCATGTGACTCTTGATCTTGGGGGGGTGAGTTCAAGCCTCACATTGGGTGTAGGGATTTCTTTAAAAAAATAAAATTATTAAAAAATTTTTCACAGATTTTAATTGTACTGATTGTTGGATGCCAAATATATCAATTTATGTGGTAATTTAAGTTTACTTTCTTATCTATAAATTATTAAGGAGCCCTCAGAACTTCATCATCCTCGGAGTACGACATTGACTACATTCAAAAAATGAAAGAATTCTCAGTGCTATATCTTACAATGTGAAAGTGTAAGAAAGAGGAAAGAAAACATAAAAGCATTATTAATGCTTTTAAGAACATGCTCTCTATGTTTAGATTCATATTAAAATTATGGATGTTAAGGATCACAGTCATTTATGAATTTAAGTTGTCAAATTTGTTAATGGACGTTAACAGTAGGTGAAGAGAATCATTATGAGGTTAATTACTTCTGACTCTTCAGAATCAGTGGTCAAATGAGTATTGTGACATCATGACAGGAGTCCCCGTCCATGGTCATTCTAGCAATGGGAGAACCCCTTCAAAAAGTTCTCTAATGATTTGGGGGAGAAGAGATACAACCTCTCATTTTTTTCCTACAGGAATTAGGATTTGAAAGAGTCTGCATTATGGCTCGTGCAGCTTTGGACTTGGTTAGGGAGCCTAACTATATGCTGGAACTTATTATCAATGACTTCATTTGGGGCAACTTGAAGACTTCTTTGCTCTAAGAGGGGAAAAAAAAAAAAAAATAGGGAAGGTCTAGCCTTCTTGGTCCTCCTCCAAAGTGGAATTCAGTAGCCATGGTACTAAGGTCTTGATACTGTGAAATGCCCCCATTTATACAAAGGAGACTTCCTCACAAACCCATTCCTAGCCTGGTTAAAATCAGAGTTAAACTATTTTCATGTTACTAGTGTTTACTACTGCGAATGAAATAAAATCATTAAGTACTCTGTATATTTGGCAGAATTCATATAATTTTAAAGTATAAAATTATTTTTCTCAAGGCATTAAAAATTACAATGATTTTCATTGTCCTCAATTCAGATGTCTCAAATTTTTAAGTATTTCTACATTTTTGTTATCTTCAAATGAATCTAGTATTCTAAGAATCACTAATTTACCCTTTGTTTCTTTTATAGTCTTAATATTATTTCCCTAATATATTAGTAACAATAGTTCCAAATCCTTTATATCTGTTGAGTTAGACTTGTTGACTCCTAGCAATTTTAGGCTAGAAGTGATCTTATAAGGCATCTAATCAGATCCCTTATTTTGGTGAGATAAAGCATTTCCAGTTTTGTGGATTACATTCGCATTTACCAATAGCACTTGGTAAAATATCATATTGGGATTGGTTTTGTTTTTTCTTTTTCCCTATTTGCGTGTAGGCTATCCCTACCATATCTTACTCTTTGCAATACTTCCACTTTAGGTCCTGTTTCCCTCTGATTTGGAAAGAGAGTCTTATAATTATAAATTACATTCTAGTGCTGAGGAGCGCATCTAAGAAATGTTTTCTTCATTAAGAGTAACTGGATTACTGCAGAATGACTACAGAAGTAATATTACATTATCGACCATATGAGAATGATCCCACACAACTGCCAAAAATCGCAGAGAAAGCAATTCAAGACTTTCCTACACGTCCGCTATCGAGATTTATTCCTTGGTGTTTGCATGATGGGTCCAAACTTCCACTCAAACCTAAAAGGTCACCACCTGTGATTTCTGAAGAGGCAGCTGAAGATGTGAAACCGTACCTAACCATTTCAGAACGTGATGTTAAATCACAGAGTTACGATTGCACAGTAGATCTTTTGGAATTTCAACCTAATTTAAAAAAAAGGAAGCGCTTAATCCGGTCACACTCACTGAATGAACAGACTAATTCTGGAACTCTAGATAAACATTCAGAAAAGGGAAGACAGCACAAGAAGAGGTTTTGGAGTGTTTCACTTCCCAACAGTAATTGTACTGAAAATATTTTTCCTTTGTCTAAAAAATTGCAAGATAGTTTAAAGGCACTGAATTTGCATTCACTTTATAGAGCAAGATGGACTATAGAGCATGCTATTTGTAACAGCCAAACTCTGGAAGACATTTGGGCAAAACTCAATCAAATCATCAGGCACAATGAACTTCCATCTTGTAATGCTACATTTCAGAGACACTTAGGCCAAATATGGGTGTTCTGTGATATTACGTACTGTGAATATGTGGGAAGTCTTCTTAAAGGAAGGTTAGCTCTTGCTGGGAAAATGAATTTATTCGTGCATAAATATGGTGTTATTTTTAGTATGTAATGAATTTCACTGATTGTTAAAGAGAAGAATATTCTGAATGAACTGAGTATGATCTGAAATAATGAGATCGGGGCGCCTGGGTGGCTCAGTCGTTAAGCGTCTGTCTTCGGCTCAGGTCATGATCCCAGGGTCCTGGGATCGAGCCCCACATCAGGCTCCCTGCTCAGCAGGAAGCCTGCTTCTCCCTCTCCCACTCCCTCTGCTTGTGTTCCCTCTCTTGCTGTCAGATAAATAAATAAAATCTTTAAAAAAAAAAAAACTTATGAAATAATGAGATCAATTTTTATGGGATTTTAACTTTTTAACTTTTTAATTTGACCTCTCACTAAGATAGCCTATTCATTCTTAATATTGTAAAAAAAAAAAAAAAATTGTGTGGTGACTTGTATACAGTTGTTTTCCAGAAATAAATGGCCATCAGTTGAGTTCCTAGACATGTCTATTAACTCAAGAGCTTTCTGGGTTATACTTTTAGTAGTCTTCTAAAGGAATCATGCTAAGTTGTTATTTATACTGAGTTTAGAGATAAAATGTTCTATCCCTTTTGTTCTGTTTTTCATTGGTTGAATTAGATAGTGCAGTGAATTACAGTGAATAGTTTGGATTTTGGTAAAGCCCCCAAATGTAATTTTATAGTGTTTTTTCTTTACTCTTCTAAAGTGTAATGATTTTTTTAAAATAAAACCAGTTCATTGCAAATGCTATTCAAGTAGCATGAACATAGTTCAAATTGGGAAACTAGCCCAGATTCTACCAATGTTTCCAAAAATCTGTAACTGACAGTATTTGATGTGGAATTTTGAAACAGAAGTACAAAATGTCTAATTTGCCTAAACTATAATGTATCTTTAAGGATATAACTTATTTTGAAGGGAAGTATCAAATGTGGATAAGAGATCGTTATTCTTTATTTAATCTATTACAAGTAGTTCAGTCTTAATGATGGTTAATGCTGATTGGTAGTTGACTGGTTTTAAGTTTCCCACGAGCAGAATGTTATAAATTGAGTTTACACATCTCATAAAAATACCCAAAGTGATTATACAATAAAGGTTGTTATGAGCAGTTTTTTAATCCAAGAATCAT